TTAGATGCTCTTTTTTAGAACCCGATTTTTTTTCCCACCCTATCAGGAACAGTACCGACGATCCATCAGGAACGGTATTTTTGCATCTCTCAAGTGTGCAAGTAAAATTTTTAAAAAAAGTTGCACAAAATGCATTTGTGCAAAGTGATTTTTTTTTTGAATTTTAAACACTGGCTGTTAGACCAATCAAATTATAGAATTTTGATGAAAGAAAAGCGAAAAATTGAAAAATACGAAAAATGGAAGGTAATTTTGCATATATATAACCACCTAAAACCTAAAATACCTAATCTAAGATGAACCTAACCCTAAAGTTAATTTAATTAAAAAAGTATTGTAAATAAAACATAACGATAAAAAATTTTCTTCAACGATTGTGTAACAATCGGATCATCATTTCCTAATTTGGGACGGTCTCCCTGTACGAAAGATCTGAATCGCAACATAAGATGACTCAACAGGTTGTTAGAATCTCGTTTCTAATTAAATCATCAGTGAATTTACAATGGAGTACGAAGACGTTTTGACAAACCAGCCCGTAGTTATTGATAATGTAAGCAAAAAATATTAACAAATGTAATACGCCTTTTTTCGGTATTAACTTATTTTTTTTTAGGGCTCTGGAGTTATTAAGGCCGGGTTTGCTGGTGACGAAATTCCAAAGTGTTTTTTCCCATCCTTGTATGTTTAACCACTATTTAGTATCTTTTTATCGTTTTCCTTTTTCTGAAAATGATGTCCTTTTGTGGATTATAGTGTAGGAAGGCCAAAACACGTTCGTATCATGGCAGGTGCCGTCGAGGGGGAAGTTTTTATTGGACGTAAGGCACAAGAGTTGCGAGGCCTTCTCAAAATAAAATATCCTATTGAGCATGGCATTGTATCTGATTGGGATGATATGGAGCGTATATGGAAATATATTTATGAAGAAGAATTAAAAATTGCATCAGAAGAAGTATGTACATGTGCAGAAATTTTGTTGTTCCAAATGGGAATTTGACCTACTGGCTTTACCGTCTGCACATTTATTTTCAGCATCCAGTGCTTTTGACTGAGGCACCACTCAACCCAAAAACTAATAGAGAATTAGCTGCCCAAATGTTTTTTGAAACATTCAATGTTCCTGCTTTGTTTGCATCAATTCAAGCAGTGCTGAGTCTGTGAGTCAGGATTCTTAATTTACTTGAAAATATTTTGTTTTCAGCGTTAATTAATATTACTTATTATCAACTCTTTTCAACTAGTTATTCTTCTGGTAGAACTACTGGCATTGTTCTTGACTCAGGTGATGGCGTGACTCATGCGGTCCCTGTTTATGAAGGATTTGCTCTCCCACACGCTATTCGACGAGTTGACATTGCTGGAAGGCAAGTTTGACTGATGCACCAATGTCTTGATACATTATGTTTTTCAAATAACATCAAATAATAATATTTTAATTGCTATAGAGATGTTACGGAGCATTTACAGCTGCTTCTTCGTAAAGCGGGATACAATTTTCATACCACAGCGGAAAAAGAAGTCGTTCGTTTTATTAAGGAAAAAACGTGTTATATTGCAATAAATCCATCAAAAGAAGAGAAAGATACTAACGGAAAATTTGAGGAATTTACTTTACCTGACGGTAACGTCGTTAAGGTATTGAAACCTATACTTTGTTTAGTTTAGTTTATTAATATATTAAGCAATCATTTAAGCATGAACTTTTTATAGTTGGGTACAGAAAGATTTAAAGCACCTGAAATTTTATTCAACCCTGAATTGATTGGACAAGAATACGCTGGTATTCACCAAGTTGTTGTTGATTCAATCAATCGCGCTGACCTAGATTTAAGGAAGTCTCTGTTTGCCAACGTTGTTTTATCGGGTGGTTCAACGCTTTATAAAGGTTTTTAAACTTTTATCATTAGATACACGTGGTAAATTTTTGTTTATCATGGAACTTACAATTTATTTATGAATAATAGATTTTGGTACGAGGTTGTTGACTGAAGTGAGAAAATTGTCTGTTAAAGATATCAAGATCAAAATATTGGCACCACCAGAAAGAAAATATAGCACGTGGTTTGGTGGTTCTATATTAGCCGCTTTGAGTACATTTAAAAAGGTTTTAATATTTCTTAATTCTTATATGACATTTATTTCTTTATTTAAACTTATGATTTTATTTAATAATAGATGTGGGTTTCTGCAGAAGAATATCAAGAGGATCCAGATATTATTCATAAGAAAAGTTTCTAGCTAGAGATTGTACCCGTATGAGAATCACTCGGGTAACCCGTATAAGATCTGTGAACTGGGTCATGACTATTGCTACCTGGGTGATTCGAATCATAAAAACATAATTTGCATTATAAATATCACTTGTTTTAAATATTTTTTTTTAATTAATTTTATTTAGTTCATTAGTATAAAGCATGTGAAAATAAAGAATATTTATTAATCTAAGTATTTATAATAAGCTATTCGTTTTTTATTAGGAAGCTTTGAAATCTGATTGATTTTAATCGATTATATCATCACAAGTGAAATAATGAAATAGGTGGATTAGGAACAAAAAAAATACGAAGCAGTAAAATAGAATATTAACTAAGAAACATATAGGCCAATTTTTGTAATTAGCAATAACTTTTAATCTATTGGTCTATTTTAAATAATTTTATTACCAAAATGATCTTTTCAATGAGGTGATTTTAGCAAGCCCAAAATTATTAAAAATCCAATTACAGATTTTTTTTTTTTTAAAGTAAATTTGTGCTTCTGTTTCTTTATTAGAATTTATAAAATATTACAAATAGAGTTTTTTAATAGAAAGAGAGAAGATTTTTTTTAAGTAAAAGTTTTTTAAACTTTTAATTAAAATATTTTAACAACTATTAAACTAAATTTAATAATTTTTTTTATTTTAATTTTATAAAATTATAAAATTAAAAAAAAATTTATTAAATTTAATTTAGTAATTGATATTTTAATTTAAAATTTAAAAAAAAGTTATCAAAATTTTTTTATTTTTTTTTTAAAAAGTATCTAAATATTATTATAATATATTATGTTTTTAATTTATAAATTAGTTTATATAAAAATTGTAAGTAGTTTTTTTTTTTTTTTTTTAAAAAAAAAAAAAAAGCAAGGCTGTGCCTCTGTTTCTTTATTAGAATTTATATGATATTACAAATATTATTACAATACTTTATATTTTCTAATTTATATAGAATTAAAGGCTAAAGTTACTTTACTTTTGACCTAAGCTTTTGCTAAGATAGGTCGATGACCTTATTAGTCTATGTATGGGATATTGAGTTGGGAGGTGTTTGCTGTTATGAAATCATTGAGCCAGTAGTTATATTTATATATTTTATGATAAGCTAGATGTTTGGGTTGATGTTTGTTTATAGTTGAAATTGGGGACTGAAGGCTTTGGGTTAATTGGTTTAAGAGTTCTGTACATCTTGCTTTCCAAGTCTTCTTTTGGATCTCTTTAACAACATAGTGAAGAAAATAGCAGGTAGGATTTTTTGCTACCTTGGTGTCTGTTTGAGGGTTTTTGTTGATAATAATATCATTGATAATAATGCCAAGAGGTACCGGTTGCGATTTGTATATAAACTTTTGTAGAAAGTTTTGTCTAAAGTTAGTAGTATTTATTTTTATTTGATATTTTTATATTGTTTTGTTGAGAGCTTGTGTGACTATTTCTTCAATGGAGTGTGTGTGTTGGTTGTGTAAGCCAGTATTGATTATCTTTATTTGTTTGTATACATCTGTAACATATAGAATTGTTATATTTTGCTGGATATCGAATATATAAATTAAGAAGTGTTGGGAGTTCGTCTATTATTAATTTTAGGTTGAAGGTTTTGATTTTGGTTTGAGTAGGATGTGTATATCGGCTTAGAGGGCTGTTGTGATAGTTTATAAAGTTGAAGGCGAGTTCCCAGTTGATCTCTTTTGGGTCTAAATTCCATCAGTGTATTCTATTTGATTGTGCCAGTCTACTATGTTTTTTGTTATTTTGCAAATGCCTTAGTAATCTTCTTGAGTTGTGAGGAAATGTATGGTAGTTTAGTTTGGGAGTGTAGATATTGTGCAGTATTATCTCTGTGTTGATTTCAGTAGCAATGGTTGTGCTTATAATGTTTGGTTTGATTGTAGTATTTGTAGTTGTTATTTG